CCAGTTTCCCGGGGCTGAGCCATCGGGGGCTCGGACCCCCCCCAGCAGCGCCTGCCGGGCTGCGAACAACGCGGGTGTGACACAGCCTGGTCACCCGTGGCCACCGCGCAGGCCTGGGCGCGCTGAGGAGAGCTCTCACGCCGCTGGGCCGCCGCACGCTGTCCCTGGAGACCCCCCCAGCGCCGCAGGGAGCTCCATCTCATGGGGAATCTGGTGTAAAGTTACCTTCAATAATTAATGCTCTGACATCAAAGCCAGCGCGCAGCTGTCTGCGAACCAGCTTTAGCCCAGGACGCGGAGGGATGCCGGCACAGATTTTATCCAGCCTCTCTCTTCAGCTTCAAAAACCACACACAGGCAAAGCATTAATGGGAAGATTCTTTTACAGAAATGGACCTTTGATGTTTAAAAATAATTTGTTTTGTTTTGGGTTTTTTCCTGGGGACTGAAAAGGGACACAAAGCAGATGCCATGTGGCCAGCCATGCTCCGCTGTTGCTGCCGAGAGCAGGGAGAGCGGAGGCTGGCAGGAACGGAGGAGGGAACAAAACGCAATCCATCAGCAGCAAAGCCCCAGAGATCAAAGGGGCTGGCAGGATCGCATGCTGTTTAACACAAGGGCAGACCGCCCAGGAGCATCTGCAGCTGCTCCCAGAGCCGCTCCGAGAGGGGACGCCGGCTCCAGAAGTGCCTCCGCGCGGTCTGGACTGGGCTGCGCTTCCCAGAAAGATGCAGGACCATGCGAGTCCTCGGGCCCCGTTGCTCAGCCCCACAGCAAACCCCACACGGAGCCACAGCCAGAACACGAGAGTGAGCTCCGTGTCCCCAGCCAGCAAAGGAACCCTCCCCCTCGCACATCCTCCCTTCCTTTTCAGCTACAACGGGAACCCTCCTTTCCAAATCCCTCGTAGGTGAGAACGCAGTCGAAGCATCAGGCTGGACAGATCGCCCAGCCCACTCCCAGGGTCTGCTCCAAGAGGTCAAACAACAATGATCAGGTGGGCCCAAACGTGTTTGCAATGCACTGAAATGTTCACCACTGGGCTGGCGAGGCCTCTCCTGCTGCAGCTGCAACTGCAGAGTCCTGCCAGGGCCTGGCTGCTGCTCCTGACCCGTCAGGGATGGGCTGCAACCACCGAGTCAGGACCTCTGCACCAACACGAGAGCAAGCACAGCCTCCTGCTAAACTCCTCCTGCATCAGTGAGGGTGACAGAGCCCTGGCCCAGGCTGCCCAGAGAGGTTGTGGAGTCTCCTTCTCTGCAGACATTCAAAACCCGCCTGGACGCCTTCCTGTGCAACCTCATCTGGGTGTTCCTGCTCCGGCAGGGGGATTGGACTGGATGAGCTTTTGAGCTCCCTTCCAGTCCCTGACGGTCTGTGGTTCTGTGATTGTGTGACCAGGCTCCCTCTGAGCCTCACCAGGCACCTTTTCTTCCTACTTACAGCTCTCCACTACTTAATCCCGTGGCTGGGTCAGAACCAGAGAGCACCACAAAACTCTGACTCCAGGAGGTACTGAAGAGCGGGGGGCAGCGGAGGGGGCTGCGGAGCCAGCCCAGGTGATGTGTGTGAGTGAAGGGGAAGGGGAAGAGACGCAGAGTCACAGAGAATCCAGGATGCAGAGCTCCCAGTGCGCAATAGTTATTAACAATGACAATTCATCCTCCTGCACTTCCCCTTACGCCACTCGCCAGACAGACCCAACGTCGCCGACAGCGTTCGGTTCTGTACAGCTGCACACTGAGCACGCTTGGCACCACCGACAGGCCACGCTGTGACAGCATCGCAGCCCTCTGGAGCCGTCAGTTCTCCTGTCTCTACATGGGCTCAAGCATTTTTATCTGAACCAACGCAGTCTGACTGCAGAGACACCAACAGCGATGGCAGACGTGCGATTTATCTTTCCGGGAAAAGGGTCAGAGAGAGGTGGACTTCATTTAAGCAGCAGGACAATTTAGAGGAAGACAGAAAACGCTTTTATGTGCAAGGACAAATATAGAAAGAGAAGGGTGGGAAGTTTCTGCTTCATCTGCAGAAATGATCTGAGGAAATGAAGACCCACAGAAGGGATGTGGCTGGACTGAATGGAAGAGAAGAGGTCCAGACCGGCTTTTTTCAAGTATCGAGCTCCTGGCAAGCAAGGTGCAACTGCAGCTGGGTATTTCCTTTCCTAGATTTACATCCCTCACCTCCCACCCCCCACGCCACCAGAAGAGTTAAACTGAAGAGCTCCAAGGAGCACCCGCCTGGACGGGGGGGACGCTGCTTCACCAGCTCTCCCTTACCTGCTCCTGCTCCTTGTGCACCTCTTGGCTGTTCTTGGACTTCTTTGGCTTAGAGGGGCCTCCAGGGCTGGAGGCCGTTGGCAGCTTTGCAGATGGCAGATCTGGCCCCAGAGCCGGCGCGGCCACGGAGGAGCCCCCCAGACGCTGTCCATCTCCAGAGAAGGGGACCAAGGGGGCGGCCCCGGGCTCTGGGGAAGGCTGCAGCTCCTCCACGCTGGCACCAGGTTCTGTGCCCGCATCCTGCGCGTCGATGGGGCTGTTTACAGACACGGCCACGTCCCCCTGGGCTGAGTCCTCTGGGGATGCATTTGCTTGAGGTAGGGGCACGTCCGCTGCTCCTCCAGCAGAGCCTGGGCTCACCGTCAGCTCACTGCGCTGCCCCGTGGCACCCGCAGCTTCCTCCTGACAGGATGGGCTGCATTTCTTCAAGACAACTCTTAACGGAGACACCAGAAGGAATAAAAACAGAGTCATTTATCCTAACAGTACTGCCCTCCCTGCCCTCAACAGGGTCACGACACAGAGACCACAGCCAGACTCAAGTGCACCCCCAATCTGATGACCTGCCCCGTCCAGACGCTCATGGAGAACAAGCTCTGGTTGCTCTGGAGTCGGAGGGGGTCGGGGGTTTGTGCAAAAACCAGAACAGGAAGAAAAGGACGCTCAGGAAGCACTCGGCGGTGAGCTGTGACGCACAGCTCCTGCAAGGGCTGGCTGGAAGGGGACAGAAACGCCGTCCCTGTCCCCACCTCACCCTCCCATACGTTTGGCAGGAGGCACTGCAGGGACCGGGGTCAACGCCTGGAACCCCAAACAGGGAGGAACGAAGTGGCAGACTCAGTCACTCAGAAAGGCTCTGGGCTGAGGCAAACAAGCCCCTTTAATCTGCACAGGACCGGTCGGTGCCAGCATCTGCAGCTGTGGGAAGCACATCTGGGCAGCAGTTTCAGATAAACAGGCAAATGCAATAATTACTGAGTGCCGCGATGTTTGTCCTTTTGACGTTTTTTCATGCTTTTTTCTTTTTGTATTTGAAACAAAACAAATTCAGCACCAGAGTGGAAAGGAAAACCAGAGCCCAAACCCTGCTCCTCCCGACCTGATGATGGCACTGCCTCCGGTCAGGCCCAGCGACTTCAGCGTCGTCTTCTCCAGCGCCTCTTTTCCCTGAATCTGCAACAACAACGGGGGACGGAAATTCCAGCAACTGCCTGTGCCACAGCACACAGCACACAGCACACAGCACACAGCACACACCAGCAGCACAGCCCCAGACACACTCCTGATTGGAAATGAGACCTGAACCCATCTGCGTTCACCTGCACCGCTTCACCACATTCACTGCTTGTTAAACAGCTCAAGGGAAGACGACCTACATGCATGTCCATCCCATACACACATCCACATGGGGCCCGACCTCAGCAAAGCACTGGTTTTGTGTCAGAAGCGAAATCACGGCCCGCACCCCAAAGGCAGCGGGTTTGGTTACGCGTGACCCGCTCCAGAATAAAGCCGCTCTGTGCGCAGGGGTCAGTGGGAAGTGCAGGGGACAGCCAGGGAGAGCCAATTCCGTAATACGCACATACAAAATGTTAAACAAAACATTAATAGCGAAAGATCAAAACACAGGGAAAAGCAAATATTTATTAAAATGAAACCACTGTTTTGACTCGAGCTTTAAAAGAAGTTGGAAAGAAAAACACAAACAGGTCATTGAGCTCATTTTATGGGCTCAGAGGTCTAAATGGGCCAGGGTTACGTTCCAAGAGAGCTTTTTTCCACACAGACACGTCATGCTTTGAAAAGACCAACATTTTTCTGCTTCCCCTCTCCAGAACGTTCAAAAGAAACACTTTCCAGGTTGGAAAGCAGAGCTGGGTTTTTCCTATTTTTCAGGACAGGAGAGGCAGTGAGGAGCTTTGCTGCCTTACCTCATCTCGCATGTAAATGCAGACCGGGGAGAAGTCACCGCGCTGCTCCATCAGCTCCCTGCAACACAGAGCAAACGCTGCGGCACCTGCGGCACAGCCTGCGCCCAAACCAGCGCAGAGCAGCAGCGAGGGGAGTGATCAGCAACGTCCTCCTCCGCGCTCCTGCAGCAGCGACCACTGCACAGCCACGGGCTCAGAACAGACACGAGGTAAAGTCTGCTCCAGCGCAGCCACTGCTCCTTAAACACGGCCCTGGACCGTCAGAAACAACGGAGAGATGACCACGGTTAATGCTGGAATCAGCTGGTCTCACTGGATAAATTCAAGCACACCATTCTTCATGTGCCTCCGTACCCGCTCTGGAACATGACTTAGTAATATTTGTGCTTCTAAATCCCTTCTCTGAGTTAAACAGCTTACTACAGTTTAGAGTCTACTTTCACAGGGACAGCTCAGTTCCCTTCCATGCATGCACAGCAACAAACAGAGTGAAGTACGGCTCTAAAGCAAATGATCTGAGGACGAAGCATTTGCCTGTCTCAGTACCAGACAGATTTTTAAAAACAGAAAAGAAAAAAAGAAACAGCAGCTTTCAGAGTCTGAAAACCAGGGACAAAACAAGGCCAAAGGGAAGGCTGCTGCGGCAGACGAAGATCAACCCCATGAAGCGCTCTGGGGAGCAGGACACACAGCAGTGCTGCAGACTGCACGAGCAGAGGAGGGGAGAACCAGCCAGACGCCAGCCTTGGCTCTGCCCGTCGTGCTCTGGGGCAGTGGAGGAGCAGCTTTGTTCCGCGCTCACTTGATCAGACACAGGAGATGGGCAGGGAAAAGACAAGCGCTGCCTGCCACAGCAGGGCACAGCTCTCACCCATCCAGGACCAGGCAATTCCACGCGAGAGGAAAACCCTGCAACGAGGCGCTCGTAATGGAAAGAAAACCATGGACTAACACTTTTAGATAGGAAACCTCAGGTGCCTGTAGAAAAGTAAAAAGCCTTGAAGAATTTAAGAATCACCCAGTGCATTACACTGGAGCGCTGGAATCAGTGAGATTCAACAGCAGAAGAAACTCGCTCTCATTGTGGTCTCCCCTTCAGCAGCCAAAGTGAAACTCAAACTGGAACCAGCTGAGAACGTGGTAAAACGTGAGATTAAGGAGAACAGCCCTGCTTCTCTTTCCACACCAATGCCACACCAATGGCAAAAGGCGACCAGGAGAGCACTGTCCATGCTGGGACGGCGGCTGCTCGGAAAGACAAGCGGCTGAACTGCCACAGGCATCTGTTTTCAAGCTCTAGATTGAAAAGTTAGCAGGGAAACCACAGAACAAGAGGTGGGGAAGCTGCCCCAGGTCACTGCCCATCAGCACAACGGGTGAGACCTGTCCTCCTCCTGTTCCGTCCTGAGCTCTGCCCTGCACCAGGACCCCTTGGGGAGGGCTGTGGATCCCACCGCACAGCAGCAGCTGCGGTGGCCTCAGCAGCAGAGCAGCTGAAATTCCTCCCCGTGGTAAACTCTGATCTTTGGGCTCTTGGAGTCCACCCCCGGTGGTGGGGAATGGCCTGGAGGAACAAAAGCCTGCCAGGAAAGGTGGATGGTCACCACTTAGGAGAGAGTCACAATGGTGCACACGTCCTCATCACAGACCCATAGGAGAGGAAACCTGTTTGACTCACACAGTTCCACTCATCTTCCCAAAACCGCTTTCTCAATTCAAGCAACTCTTTGGACTGGAGAGCCTTCTAAAAACCTATGCAAAATATCTGAAGGTAATGAATGACACCACAAAAGCAGCAGTCACAGCCAGGGTCAGAACCGTCTCACAGTGTCCCGGCTGCCCTCACGTTGTGCAGAGCAGCCCACCGAGCTGCTGAGCAGCACGAGGAGACGCAGAGGCAGCAGCTCCCAGGCCCACACCACACGGGGTGCAGCGCCTGCGCCCCTGCCCGTCCTGCAGAGCACACCCCAGAGCCCGATTTCTGTGTGACTCTCAGAAGGCAGCAGGCTCCTCCTCCAGCTGCTGTTAATCCATGACATGCACTCACTGAGGCGAGCACACACATCAAACACTCTGTCACTGCTTTGATGTGCTGCTCTTCAGAAGGGGAACGGCAGGCAGATTAGATTCCTTCATGTAGTGATCTGACAGGGCCTGTAAACATCTTGTGCAAGGACTGCCGCACGCTGAGGGGAGGAGCAGCCCCACAATAGCTTCCAGACCTTCTTCAGACCCAATTAGCCACGATGGACGCTGGAAACCCAGGGGAAATTCCAGCGGATTTAGAATACTTCCCCTCACGCACTCGGAGCATTCCAGGAAAACGTCTCCAGTTGGAAAGTCAAAGGAAGGATTCAGCAAAAGTCAACAACCAGCCACTCATCAGGCAACCGAGTCAACGCGCTCTGAAAAGCGGCACAGCCGACGGAATCCGTGCGGACGGCTACGGACCCGGCCTGTTCTGGGACTGCCACACGCAGCATCTTTGCTGCTTGGTGAACTTCATCAAAAGCTTTCCAAGTCCATCCGAACATCTGAGTTCAGCTTCCAGAGGGCAGAAGAGAACAGCTGTGTCTCATGAACTGAAGTTCATAAAGCTTAGCACACTGTAACAGTTAGAATCTTAAAAAGAGCAGCATGCACGTTAACTATTATTATTTATTAACACATAAAACCACTCCAAAGGAGCAAAATTATATGAAAAGCTCAAAATTCAAACCAAAGAAATAACCAAGTAACGTGTGAGAAAGCCGCACAAAGGCTGTTTGTCACTGTCCGCAACCGCCACCCCCACCAGCCGAGCAGTTCCCAAGCTGCTGCAGACTTCTCTCCTCCCAGAGGCACAAAGTGTGCCTGGAAACACCCGGGAAATGACCCCTGGCTGTTCCTGCCGACCTCGCTCCTCGGTCAGGAGAAAAAGAACTCTTTTCTCTACAGCATCTACTCGAAGATTTCCCTCTGACTCAAGAGCAGATGCCACAGCATAGACCTAGCAGACCATTGAAGACAAAGTGGTAAGTAAGACTCACTGGTATCACTTCAGAGCCACTAGACTACCTCAAACTGTGGTTTGGTGGTACAAAACATTGAGCAGAAAAACTGACACGCACCACTCCTACCCATCTGCTGCTTCCTCCTTTGGGATCCTTGTTCTCAGACGAGCTACACTTCTGGTTTTAACTGCCCTTAGCTGGGTTAGGAAAGTTGTCTCTCTGCAAGATAACGCAGGGAAAGCACTATTGCTCAGCTGAATCAGCCACTCAAACCAATCCCCACAAAACTGCACAAACAGCAAAAGGGGAGCTGGACAGGAGGGCGGGCAGTGAGCACCGGCCGTGGATGCCCAGCTGCCACGCAGCAGATGCCCACAGCCCAAGGTCCCTCCCACGGGCACCAGTCACTGCGTTCACCTTGCCGTGGGCCAGGCAGGGCCCGAGCCAGCAGAAACCACAGCGCATCACTGGGAGGAACCGGTTCCTGCAGCCTGGAAACAGCTCTGGAGCAGCTCCAGCCACACAACCCTGCAACCTCGACCTCACGAGACAGCATCAGCCAGCCCAGCCCCAGAGCCACGCTGCTGCGGCCACTGCAGCCGTGCTGCGGGACGTGCACCTCCCAGCGCGGTCACACCACCTCACGCAAGGACACGTCAGCCTGGTACCCACGCACGCTGTGCCCAGCCCATCACCACTGCTCAGCTAACGGGCGACACGCCATCATTTGCATCCTGTATCGGTACCTGAAAGGTTGAGCTCCTCTGAATGCTGCTGCACCACCACCCGCACCGTCCGCACAGATGGGCAAGAGATCCAAACGCAGCAGAGCAAGTAGCAGAGTGTGAGGAGCGTAAGAGGAAGAACAAGCTAGAAATGCGGGATCTGGAAAGAGGCATTTTATCAAGAGAAAGGTAAACTGCAAGAGAAGAAAATGAAACGTGGAAACTCTGCTCAGAGCGGAGTGGCTGTCACAGCTTCGAGGCGCCAACTTCCAAGCCAGGACACAAATAAAAGAACTGTCCTTGGAGAAGAGCTCATTAGCCTGACATTTCTAAACAAGATTTACAAGTCAAAACTAAAGACACAACAAAGCACTGGATGCAGACTGGGCTGTAATAAGATTTCTAACCCATGCAAACATTCAATAAACGTAGAACCAGAAATTCTTCCACTTGAGCAGGATCCAGTCGGTGTTTTGAAGACTCCCCGTCAGCCTGCTGCGAGTGATCTGACAGGATCTCCAGATTTCTCTGAAGAACTCGCACAAAAGCACAGCAACTCGCTCAAAGGAGCCCTGTGCACCACACAGAAGTGGCGGTGATGAAGACAACCCAGGCCACCACCTCACCCCAACTTCAGACGCGCTGTGCAGGAGACAGCTGAGGCGATACTCCCAGCTGCAGTTTCTTCCCAGCCTTAGCAGCGTGTTACTGGTTTGTGCCCTGAACCAGGAATGCTACTCCAGGATTAAAAAATAACAACTAAACTACGGAGTGTGAAATCTGAAAGAGCAAGGAAAAGGCAAACGTCTGTGTTGTAAAGGAAAAACCACAGCCGAATAAATGCAAATTCTACACATCTGCAGGATTCAGCTGGATCAGCGTCACAGATCCCTCCTGGCACCCAGAGATCCATCCACACAAGTATTTTCTCACTGCATTGCTCACCTCATCTTTGCAAAATGGTTGAGCAGTTCCCACAAAGTCTGCTGACAGAGAAAGGTGCCTTGTAAACGGGAGCCATCGTCCAACTGCAACGCGATCCGAACCTATAGTAAAAACACACTGAGTTAAAACTTCTCTTCCTTCACACATTTTTCAGTATTTCAATGATCTCTAGAACCTGCCATCCAAAAAACCTTACTTCCCTCTAAACGCTTGCTGCAAAGGATTACCCGTTGCAATGCAGAGGACTATCCAGATCATTCCAGAAGTCACCGTGCAGTTCCCTGACCCGATGCTCCCCACCAAGGGCTCACCCGTCCCCTCCAGCCTCTCCCCGTGGCCTCTGGGCGAGGGCCGGTTCTGCCAGTGCAGACGGAGGCAGCGAAGGCCTCCAGCCTTTCCCTGTCCCGTGTAACCACGTCCCCTGCCCTGCTCAGCAACGGGCCCGCGTTTTCCTGCCTTCCTTTCCACCCGTGTACCTATCAGAGCATTTCTTCTCCTCTTCCACATCTCTGGCCAGATTCAATTCCCGCTGGGCTCAAGCTTTCCTAACTCCATCCCTGGATGAAGCACAAGGTCTCTCTGCTCCTCCCACGTTTCCCATCCCTGCTTTCGCTCTCTGCACACTTCCTTTTGGTGCGAGCGTGGCCAGGAGCTCCCTGTCCATCTCTGCTGGCATCCTGACTTCCCATCCGCTGAACGACCGCTCCAGAGTGTGGAGGAGGCCATCCCTGGCCATTGACCAGCCTCCTTGGGCCCCTCTTCCCTGCACACTCCGACCAAGGCCAACACAAGCGTCCCAAACAACGCGTCCCAAGAGCAGCTGAGGGGTGTGTTTGACACTGGCTGCGCCTTTGCAGCAAGGCTCTTTGCAGCAACACGAACAAGTCCCAGAACAGACAGGACTGATGTAGCTGCACGAACTGCAGCACAACGCAGAGCTCTGTGCACTGGGGCATTGCTGCGCAGAACAACGCCCCCGGGGCAGGACAAACCGGGGCCCTGTACACCCTGTACACATGGGGAACAGCCAGCGCAGCCCAAACCCAGCGCCGAGTTACTGCAGACCTGACCAGCGACGATGGCTCCAGAGAGACTGCAACACAACCTGCAACTCACCCATGCTTCCCAACCACAGAACTTGGACGTACAATTTAAAGGTGAATTAATCAAAAATCTCAACAATAATTCTGGATGTTCAGTTATGGAGTTCTTAAACACCTGCAGGAAAAGGCAGAGGACCCCAGCTGCCTGCTGCAGCAGGCCTTTCCCAGCTGGGATGTGAGCACATTCGCTACCAGGTGCTCATGCAGGTCACGGAGACTCCTCACAGAACTGCTACCAAAAAAACTTAGAACATCCAAGGCATTTCTAAAATGAGCACAGTAAGGACAGAGAGGAACTCCCAGCTCCTGATGGTCCCAAATCCAGCAGCTGAGCAAGAGACGGAGAACGGCACAGCACTTCTGGTGGTGCCTTCACCTTTCAGAGGACGCTCAGCCTCCCTTTTCAAAACGTCTAACACTCAAGTTTTCCCAGTTAGCTCACCCGTCCACAGAAAGGTGAATAAAAAGGAAGTCCCTATTAGGGAGCACCTCTCGTGTGCGGTCAACCACGGCTTTCTGAGGCCGGGCTCACACAGGGGTCTAAGGACACCAGCCTGCGGGGTGTGCGTGTGGTGTGTGTGTGGTGTGTGGTGTGTGTGTGTGTGATGTGTGGTGTGTGTGTGTGTGATGTGTGGTGTGTGCTATGTCTGATATGTGTGTGATGTGTGGTGTGTGTGTGTGATGTGTGTGTGTGTGCTATGTCTGATATGTGTGTGGTGTGTGTGTGTGATATGTCTGATACGCGTGTGATGTGTGTGTGATATGTCTGATACGTGTGTGATGTGTGGTGTGTGTGTGTGATGTTTGTGTGTGTGTGTGGTGTGTGTGTAATGTGTGTGTTTGTGGTGTGCGATGTGGGAGCACAAGGCAGGGAGAGCTGGGAAAAGCAGACACCGCACACGCCGTCAGTCAACCGTGCTTCCTCTGCAGGAACACGTTCGTCATCTGCCTGCGCTCCCACCGCCCCTGACCTGTTGGAGACAGGAATTCTGCACAGAGGAAGCAGTGGCATCACCGACAACCAGCCAACAGCCGCTTCACCCCACCACCGACACAGCTTCCCCTACGCCTTAGATCATCCCCAGCTGCAGCGGTGATGACAGCTGACATCAGCGCTCAGGACGAACACAGAAACTCAGACTACCAGTTGCATCAGGGTTTGGGCAACAGCTCAAAGCCAAGCATGTCACGAAAGTCCCCTTCAGTCAATTAGAAAAGTCTTCTTCAAAATCCTGGGCTCTATATGAAGTAACGGAGAGAGCAGTGCCAAACATCTAGGTTTACAAACACACAATGAAAGGCTAACAGCTTTAACGCTACTGCTGGTACCCCCAGACCCCTGCCACAAGGGGAATCTGTTCAGTTCTTCACTACAGAACTGCCTCACAGGAATCCATGATCTTTACACGTGAAGGCAAATCCAAAACCATCCTGGTTTAGAAACACCAGACCAGCTGAACTGAGAAACTCCATATGAGGAAGTCAGTAAGAAGATAACTGCCCGTGACAGACAAATTCTTACTGCCAGGCTACTTAAATAACATCACATATGATCTTATTTTACATGAGATCATTTTACAAAACATATTTATGCTCAATAACACCTATGCATCATTTTCTAAATTATGCCTCCACGCATAAAGGATTTTTAGATCTCCTAAATGTGACAGCAGTTCCTACAGAACACGGCACCTGTAAGCCCTCTGCAAACCATACTAAATAGGGGCATTCAGGAACTGCTGAACACAGCACAGATCACAAAGAAAACTAAAGCTGTGTGAACACACCATGAACAGCAACGCTGGGAAAGAAGTGAAAGAAAATCCTGTAAGAATTTGAGATTTTTAGTAAAAACCCAGAGGTGGACAACAGCAACTGAGATAGAAATTAGGAAAGGGAACCGAGTTAGTAGCTCAGTTGCTGAGCAAAGCCATCAGTGATGTTTAACTTCTTACACGTTCGCGTTTTTCGGCTCCCCAGACCTCCCTGACAAGATCCCATGCAGCACCACCGAAAACTGAACCAACTGGTGACGCCGAGACAGGACCGTACCGTGTTTGCAGCTTCCACTCTGTGAGAGACCGGCACCATCTCCAGCTTGGCATTGTTGGGCAGCCTGGCAAACCTCCACTGCAAAGAGAGATCCAACACGCTCCTCTGAAACCTACAGGAGAACACAGCCCGTGAAGACACAGGGACCACCCCGCACCACCCTCAGTCGCTTCAAGGCCTGGCAACAACGCCCAGCCCAGGCACTGGAGGAGCTCCCCGCAGGCCGACTGGGAGCCATGGACAGCGGCTTCTCACAGACAACTGGAAATTCAGAAGAGACATCAAAAAAAAGTAACTCTGCACACCAAAAACGCTGCAGTTTGTAGGTGTCACTGATAAAACACTCAAGTACGTGCTCCTCCTCCCCTCAAACAACCCCTGGGCTATGGCACCGTACCAGCACACGGTCAGACCATGGCACGGGAGGAGAGCCCGGCCAGCCTGAGCTGGAGCGTGGGGGGAAAACCCTCATGGAGGTTACACGGGGACTGGTGTCGATCCACGGGTGAACTCCTCACAGGGAAACCGGGGAAGGGTGGTGTGATGGAGGTAACTGTGCTGGAGAGCCCCTGGGCCCCCTCCCCGGGGTCACCGCGAATGATCTCCTCGTGTGTCGCCACGCAGGGCCCGCACTGCCGGGGCGAGGGCCTCGGTGCGCGGCCCAGGGACTCC